TCAGCTTGGTTGTTTTTAACCTTCCCCTCTAGAACGGTGTTGACAAACTTTGGCCATTTAAAGATGAGGGGACTCAAACTCCAAAAATTCCCCAGCCAGCCATGCTGGCTAGGGAATTCTGGGAGTTTAAGTCCACTCATCTTAAAGTGGCCAAGCTTGGACAACACTGCTCTAGAACCAGGGATGGCAGAACACTAAGTCTAACCAATGAAAATGCTCTCCTATGTGAGACAGAGAGGATATTACTAAAGCAGCTAGATGTTAGAACTGTACAACAGTTACAGCCACCATTAGAATAATAAGCTTACTTTTATTTCTCTGGTCAAGGATTCATCGCTTTATCTCTACAGTGGCTCTTCTAAATCCCAGGATCATTAAAAACTGTGGTGAGACACCACAATAACATAAGGCCATGGTTATACCTTTCTTCCGAGATGAAACACTTTTATCATCTAGGATTACGGGGGCCAACATTTCCTTCCAAAAAGATTAATTTTGGCCAGCCCTTTAATTAGCAAGACCTCATATGATCCTCTATGAAAGGAAGGGCAGACTCCAAAAGGGGAAATGAATTAGATGCATTCTGGGGAATGTGAAGCATAATTCTTAAGATTTGGATTCAATTACCTAAAGGCTCTTGTATTATTGTTGATGTAAGTGCCGGACTGTATTTCATAGGACGTAAAACTCACCTCAGAATCCTGAATAATTTTACCGCAGCCAGAACAAAATTATCACCAACTTATGCATTAAAGGTATTTTGAGCTCAACAATTATATCTCTTCTTTGTTCCTTCCTAGCTGTAAGGTGATTAGAATAAAATACCTATATTTTTAAAGTCCTTGACTGGATAACATTAGTATGGATACCATTTATATGTCAATTGTGAGAGCAGTTAGCATGCCTCTTAGCAGAGCCTTTGTTATTCCAATAGTTGATGGCCAATTTTTCCTTGCTGCAAAATGCTGCCAAGATCCTCAGATTCCCTCAAAGTATTAAAAGTGCTGTCCCTAGTCTTCAAAAGGTTGCCCATCCCAGAGTTATGGGTTCAATAAACAGCAGTTCAAGGTGTTAAGAGAATTTGGTTCTGAACCATCTTGATGTCACATCTAACTCAACCTTCAACAGTTATTCTCTTCATTTGTATTTGCCTGACCCTGGTTCACACATGGAAGATTATAGGTAAAGTCAAAAAGGAGAATCTTAAGAAGGACTCTGGAGCTTTCATGCTTACTACTATAGGACGGCAAAGGAAACTATGAAAGTAACCCTTCAATCCTTAGCTCAATTCAGAATATGCTCTATGTGGAAAATTAGCCATCAAGTCAGTCAGAGAACAATATTAGATGTCCATGGGTTTTTTATTTTAAGCAAAGCAATTCTGTTTAGTATTAAATAAAAGCCAATATGTGTTTTTATGCATTTCATTTTATTTAAAGACTGAAAATATTTAAATTGGAGGAAGGAAGTTTTTGTTCTCCATTTGATTTTGCAGAAATGCTTGAGGGTAAATTATACTGTTCAGATATTACATTTTAAATATTAAAGCTATGCCATGCCAGTTCCATTTCCAGGAACATATCAGCCTTCACCCTATAAACTGAGGAGCACACACAAATCTTGTCTTCAGAAATGACAAACTACCAGGAGGACGGGAGTAACTGCATAGGATCAGCTGCTGCAGAAAATTGATCTCCTATGCAACCACTATCAGCAACCACAGTGGGTCTAACTGGATGGATGCTTTCTTTTATGCATTATACATTTCTGAAGATGCATTAGAAAAAAAAGACAGAACATTAATTTTTAATGAGGAATCAGTTCTGTATCGAGAAGAAATAGAAACACAAAGTACATGACATGGTGGTAAAAGAGCACTCTATTTTTCTCCCTGTTACTTTGAGAACTATTTTCACAAATCACCCCTGAGAGTATGGTCTCTATGCTATCTCAATTGTACACACACACACAAAATCAGACTTACAGCAAGACACTAAGATAGTACAGCACCTCCTTGAAGCTGTAAGAGTCATGCACCCCTTTCTTTGCAAGATATCAGCTTAATGTAAGTCGATTTGTGTCACATTTTTTGTCTTCACAGAGAAAGTAAGTACAGGCCACAACACTTACAGAATATACGTGGCAGCTGTGCATGTTTAGAAAAACACTGAGAGCATGTGCTTTGCACACAACAGTTTCCAGCTACAATCCCAGTTGAGAAAGGATTTGATAATATACATATGTATCCAAACATATTCCCCTTTGGGGTAAAAAATGTTATGCAAAGCAGAAAAAAGAAATTAGGAAATAGCAAGCCAAAGTAATTAAATACATGAGGCAAGAAAATAAAACACCTCTCAAGCTAGTTTATACCAAGACCATTCACAATATTGTTCCACAGCTTTCTCTTCTTCCATGGCATTCATATACCATTTCAGCATCACCTTTGTTCTTTAAACTTACATCTCTCTTTCTCAGGAAATTATCACCTCCAAGCAATCAGACCCCTTCATGGATCACTGCCTTGTCGTGGCGAAGGGGCTTGCGTAACTCAGTGAA